GGTCCCAGCTCCTGCCAATCTAGCAGTTCGAAAGCATGTCAAAGTGCAAGTAGATAAATAGGTACCACCCCAGCGGGAAGGTAAATGGTGTTTCCGTGCACTGCTCTGGTTTCGCCAGAAGCGGCTTAGTCAGGCTGGCCACATGACCCAGAAAAAAAACTGTCTGCGGACAAATGTTGGCTCCCTCAGCCTGTAAAGCAAGATGAGCGCTGCAACCCCAGAGTCGTTCGCGACTGGACTTAACTGTCAGGCGTCCTTTACCTTTTTTATATAGTTTTAGTGTACACTCTGCACATGTAAATGGCATCTGTGCATGATCGCATACAGAGTTCTAACATCCCACATGTTTCATTGCCTATCACAATCAGCCCCGCTGGTTGTTCTTATGGGGTTGTCTTTTTCTATGCAGTTTTATACAGCAGGGTTCCGTCAATAATGTTTAGTAAAGTCAAGGGTTGAAATATATTTGCTGCCGCCTTCCCTGTGCCCTTTCACTATCATGTCTATTCAAGGCATTGAGTAACTGTCACAATGCAGAATCGGGTTGCATTTCTCAGAAGCACTTGCAAAACTGAGGAGCTTCACACTGCCCAGGTGGGTTCTTTCCCCTCCTTCCAAAAGATAGCATTGATTCCACATCTCATCCTCTTTGCCAGCTCCTCAGCCTATTTTTTTACTAGTATTATTGTATTATAATGGTGTCATTTCACTAGGAGCCATTGGTAAAGAAAATACAATATGCATCTGTGATTACTGCTGCCCCTGTCTACTCATTTTAATAAAGTTCATTTTTAAGGCTTGGCTGCAGCTGCCGGTATTTCAGATGTCCTCCACTGTAAGTGCTGAGGGCAAAGCTGGGAATAGAGGCTATAGGTGACCCTGATGCCCCCTTTCCCTTCATATATCATATATATTCACTATGCAGCTGTTACTTCTGAAGTGGAAGAGGTAGAGCCAAAGGCATGCTCTATCAGCAGCATATAGTAAGGTAGACTTCAAGGGTGTCTGTTCTACATGGCGGGGTTTTCTACTAGAACCCCAAAATCCACCAACCAGAGTCAGGTGCAAAAAAGTACATCTAAATTAAAACAAACTCAATCTGAACCCTGTGAGTTTATTCTCTTATAAGAACAGAATAGAATAGCCATTTCACACAAAAGTCCACTCCAGGATAGCTTTCTTCATTTCAGCAGCCTAATTCTGGTGGGGGAAAGTCATTTTGTTATTGTTCTTAGAAAACTGGGAGTCAGAAACCCTTGCTGTTTTACTGCAAATCACCCAGAGATCAGCCAAGAGATCCTGATCTACGATCTTCCTACCCTTGCAATAAATCACTGCATTTCATATGAGGGTGAGTAGATAGGCAAACCAGCCAACTGCTATTTCCTAAAAAGGATTATTTTTTTTTAATGTTAAGGATCAAGGTTGTAGACCAAGCAGCTGCCCTGATGAGAATTATCTTTGGCTCCTCCATTTCTATAGGTTTCTATCAGTTTATTTTTACTGGTTTTTCAGCCCATTTCACCTAACAACAACAACATTTTTCATGCACAATTTATATGCATGATTTATTCCCCGCACAGAAGACAATTTGCACACATGGATCTGACCACAGTCACTTTCTCACACTGCCATTCACACTGAGACCAGTAGAACCATTAGTGGGATACTGAGTCAGGGAGATCCATAAGACAGTCCAACCACTATTTGTGGAAGACTGTATATTATGAGCATATAAAGGCTTCTTATGGTCTTCTAGATGTTGGAGTCTGACTCCCATAAGTACCAGCCAGCTTGGTCAAGAGACAGAAGTGATGGAGGTTGTTGATCAATAGCATTTGGGGGGCGGTAAGTTTTCCATCCCTGATCTACAGTGACTAACAGTTATGAATATCAGAGAATTAACAAGAAAAACAGAAATGGGAGCAGAAATTACCAGTGTTTGCTTATTTCCCCCATGTTCATAATGGAAATCAATCCAATGGATATGATCAGAATGCCCTGTCGCTGCTGATTTCAATCTGCAAATGATACCCAATTGATTATGTCTCCCCTCCAGACTTGCATTGCATTTCCTTTGCATTGGAATGAAGAGTGTGGAGTAGTGTAATGGCAATGCAATTTATGTATTTAGCTATGTAAATTATGTAATTTCACCACAGCAGACAGACAGACAAATTATGTAGTTATTGGCAGAAGATGGGCTGCAGCACAGCGGAAACAGTGCTGCATGTGATGAATACAGGGTGCCACAGAAAATGATGCATCCTTACATAGGTGTCACTAGCTTCCTTTGTGAAATATTAAAAGGTATGCTCCATTTCCACACCCACACCTGGGCAGCTTAGCCTGCAGTGCTCTTTCCACAACCAAAACAACTCTTTCATAATGTAAGTCCTATGTTGGTGGAAGATGAACTGCAGTAGAATGGAAACAGTTCACAATGTAAAATAATGCCTTCTTGCATCCCTACTCACAGCAACTCTTTGGGTTTTCAGTAAAGGAAGATTGTCAGGGGTTGAATCTGGGATCTTCTGCTTGCAAAGCACGTACTCTATCACTGAGCTAGTCTTTCAGTGCTGCCTTGTAAAATGTGTCCTTCATCTTGATAAAAAAGATGTATTTTGCATTATGACTACCTAGGGGGAAATCAGTCCATTAGCTCACATCATCCAAAACATCCTGGCCCCAACACAGTAATCATAATGCAGTGAACCACAACTGTGGTTAATATGTTTAATGTTTGGAAAACAACCTATCTTAATCAAACTGTTTTCAGGGCACAAGGTGGAAGCTTTATTAAGTTGTTTGTTTTTTGTTTTTTTGAAAAAAAAACTCTATTAAAAGTTCATTAGTCATAAAGATCTATCTAATGGGGGGTGAAATGACCTTAAGTACTGTTTAAGGCTAAGCAAAGGTCTACTGGCACAATGTGTGTCAAAACGCATTAAACAGCATGAATCGAAAGAGCCCTCTGGAGTTTTCTTCAAGTGTATTACTTTTAAATTGGAGAAGGGGAAATTTTCCCAAGTCTAAGGCTGGACAGGAAACAGCCGTGCTTTTTAAAAAGAAGAGGAACTGTTTTGTAGCTATATAATCAATTGCACATAATTAACAAAGAATTATAATGGCTGACTTGCAAAGTTGGAACCATGCATCTTGCAGAATGCCAAGGACATTGTGGTCTTATGGCCTTCATGAAGTTGTCTTTGTTTTACAGTGGAGGGCAAAATACATGGTATCCCCCAATGCCTGGAATGAAGCCATTTTTTATGTCTTTTCGCACTCCTTTATTATTATTATTATTATTATTATTATTATTATTCACTGCTTCAAAGTCTGGGGGTGGCCATAGGCCATCCAACTGGAAGGGGATTAAACAGACTTTTGGGGTTCAGTAGGGCTGTGCACTGGAATTGTCCAAGATCTGAATTCCAAGCCAAATTAGGCCTATCCAGAGGGACCCTGGACCTGTTGGAGTTGTCACAGCCCCAGATCATTACCATTTCAGCTAAGAGGCCCAAAGCCATCCAGGGATATCAGGGGGTGGGGCATCAAGCTGGATGAGCAAGAAGAAGAAGAAAGATCTTACTGGCAAGATTGGTGATTGATTCATGGGTATGCCATGGGAATGACAGGGACCAGTGCTTCCCACTCCAACAGTAGCCTGTCAGATTGTCAAATCATTGATGTACCTGAGATGATGTCATTGGCATCTACTCTTTATGAAATGTTCATGAATATAAAATTAGAATTTGCAGTGATGGAAATATTCCAAAGTGTCGTAACAGCTGAATCTAGCAGCAATCCAAATTTGAGTTGGAAGCTGCAGAGAGGAGCTGGACCATGTTGATGAGCCTGAGACTGCAACTGGAGATCAGGATACTGCCATGCCTGAAATGGTCAGACATGACCCCCCTGAAGAACCTCCTATATCACCAAGGTCTGCAAGGCCAGAAGTATTCTGAAGTACTCAGTTGGGGATGGAGCCTAGAGGAGGTAGTCTGGAGGCAGGAGCTTAAAAGACCTCAGCTTGCTCCCAGCCTCTGTTGGAGCACATGGCTCAATCAGCAATATTGATGGTCCCCGTGACTTCAGCACTGCACCTGAACATTTTATCAACAATAAGCTGAGAAGCTGGCAGGATAGGATGGATTGTGCAGATTTCTTTTTAAAAGAAGAAGAAGAAGTTAGTGGCACTACTTAAAAAATCATCCTCATTTTCTGAGGAAATCAATAATATGCCCTTAAAAGGTAGTAACAAATAGCATTTGAATCACTTATTCCTGCATATAATTCAGAGTCCTTTTTCTTCTGTTATTCATTCGGCTCCAATAAGCAAACTCTTTACCCAAATCCTTGAACTGGAACTTTCTGGGATATAAAACTGCCAAGCCCACAGATGTTTTGGGCTCATTTAAATACAAATTCACTGGAGACCGCCTCTTTTTGTTTTGTGAAATGGGATTCAGATTGCCTCAAATGCTCTACATAATGGGAGTTCTACTGGCTGAGCACATTTTCAAATTCAGCATTATGTCTTGTGGAGAATCTGAGCTTTCAACTGGACCCCAAACTGTCTAATCAATTCCCTGGAGTCTTGATTTGGATGTTTAGAATTGAGGGACTCATATAATGAGCTCAGTCAGTGGCAAATTTGAAAATGGCACTCTGGAAGTCCATCCTGTACTTCAAACCACTAACAATACTAATCACCCTTTTTAAAAATAGGGAGTGAGACTGCAGGACCCCTCGTTTACATGCCCATTTGATTTTCCAAAGTGAAATCCTTTCCTACTTCACACATAAATGAAGCAGCTCCACATTTAAAGATGCTGGTCATGTACCTGCCAAGGCCGACAAGCCTTCAGGAAACTCACAGCTGGCCCGCTGACCTTACCGAATCTCATCTTTCCCCTCCTGGTTGAACTGCCTGTTCATCTGCCCATTCTTAGTATTTAAGAGGTGACAAAAGTGAGAATGAGCAGCCAACTTTCCATGGGAAAATGACATCGCTCAGTGGTAGAACATCTGCCTTGTATGCAGATGGTCCCAGGTTCGATCCCTGGAATACCCAGGTAGAGCTGGGAATATCCCGTCTGAAATATTGGCAAGCCACTGCTAGTCAGAAGGACCAATGGTAGGGCTCAGTGTAAGACACTCGGTAACAGGTGTGAACTGGAGAGAGTTCTGAGGGTCACATGGAGAGACCTGACACGGTAAATTCAGTTCGTGGCTCAATATTTCCCCTCCTTGCCCTTGAATTCATATTGTGCTGGTCCCGGGGGGTTACCGTGTGGCGTGGTCCGAGGCTGAAGTGGGGTCCAAGGTAGGGAGTCGGGCGTGGTCAGGAACGCTGGCAGAAAGCAAGACAGGGTGCCGGCAGGAACAGGTAACCAACAATGTTGATCCTGCAACCTGGGAGTGGGCTGACTGGCCTTTATCTCCTCTGAGGCCTAGGGCGGTCCCGGCCCACAGGTGACTCGCCTCCCCTGGCCTTAAGGCGAGCACTCCTCCTGAGAGAACTTAGTTCCCTCCGCCTCTCTGCCCTGAGCCTCTGCAGCTCAGGAGAGGCTGGAGGGTTACTGGACCCAGAGGCAACCTCACCTTTCCCTGACAGGGCTGGGAGAGGAGCACCTGCAGGCAATGGGTCCTCAATCACCTCTGGAGCCAGAGAGGATTCAGCTGGTGTCTGCTCCTGAGGATCCAGCACAGGTGAGGGCCCTTCAGTTTCAAGCCCCTGCCCCGGCTCAGCCGGCCCTGGAGGCGGGGACTCCTGTGCAGGCTGGGATTCCTCCGGTTCAGCCTCTGAATCAGATTCCCAGGCCACCACACATATGGTGTTACCTTTGTGTAGCATATTATAGGGCTGTACACAGACCCCCCCCCCATCTGCCCTATGACTCTGATATGTAGCACCTGGATCAGAGCAATTTACCCTGGGCCACCCCGGGGGCCACCCACCCCACCACGGTTTCAGGGGTGGGGCTAATGTTTTTTGTTTAGGGTTTTGAAACCTGATTTTAACAGCCTGCAGCTTGCTGGTGGGGAAGCATCTCTGTATGCACCCACAGAGGTTTTAATCCCATGGCTTGATCTGACAACATCCATAGGATGTTCATCTGACAGCATCCATAGGATGGAAACCACCTTGCTTTTGAATGGAGGGGTAAGAAAATAATAGCTCCAAATGAAGCCCTCAGGGCTCCACAGTCCCATATGCTGAACAACTGTCCCTACACTAAACTACTGGGGAAAGTTCAAAGTCCTGGTTAGGACTTATAAAGTCCCAAAGAACCTGGGGATAGGTAGGGATGGGGAGAAATTTGGTTCAGTTCACTCTTTCTTTCTTTCTTTCTTTTTGAAACAATACCTCAATTGAAACTCAGCTTCAAAATTCACACTTCTCTGAATTTTTTAATGCAGTTTTCTAATCAAAAATATATGTACACAAATGCACATATTATGGGGAAGTGCATATAAGAATGACAATAACAAATTAAAAAATGCAGAGGTAGGGGAATTCGCTCTAAAAATATATATCAGGAGAAATCTGCGCAAAAATGCTACTGGAAGATGAAAAAAAGGAGAACGGAATCGTCAATAAAAGTAACCCCACCCCCAAAGGGAGGTCTCAGTAACCCAATTAAGAATTATATTAATATAAACATGATAGAAGCGAAGGTCACTGAATAATTACAAACACAAGTCACCATGTAACTACGGTGCATTTTTTGAGCAATGTAAACTATAACACAATTCACAAGTGATACAAGATGGCATCTGTAGGATTGAACCTCATTTCATACTTCTTCAGCCAATGGAGAATATGGCAGCTATTAACCCCTTATTACCTCAAACTTTCTTTCTGGAGTTTTCTTCATTTCAGGGAAATATCGCTGCTGTGAAATCTGTTGAATTCTACTAAATGCTCATGTGCATCTGAGGGTAGCCAAGAAGCTCTAAGTACTGTGGTCCAAAAATAAAGAGCTTTCATTTATGAAGTGGGGTGAATATATTAAAAGCTGGGTTCCTGTGACTTTGGGTCTCCCCCCCCCCACACACACACAATGTAGAAACATGTTCCCATTGAATTGAGTATGTTTCTTTATTTATTACACTTTCCGGTATTTTATCTAACTTATACCCTTTTTCATTTGCATTCATTTTATTCCAGGATATTATTATTATTATTATTATTATTATTATTATTATTATTATGCACTGCCTCAAGACTGTTGTGAGAGACAGTATCACTGTGCTAAATAACTGCAAAGGAGCGTCACCCCATATTTTGCTGCTTGAACTTGCCAATAATTTCAGCCACAAGTTCCCTTTTGAACACTCCCATATCATCCGCAGAGAAAACCCTGCTGGTTTTGGTGTGACTTATTCCCTAGTAAGTGCTCACAGGCCCACATCCTTAGTGTCAATGACTACAGGGCTTTAAAAAGATTTCCCAAAGTGTTGGTATTTATTAACAGATTTATTTTCTGCTTTCACCATTATGTTTGTGTGACACCTGGAAAAACAGAAAATCTTCTGATCCCAAAGGCTGGGATCCATGAGAGAGAGAGAGAGAGAGAGAGAGAGAGAGAGAGAGAGAAATCATTATATGGATAAGATAATCAGAAACCCAATGTTGCTTTCTCTGTAACTGATTAATTCTTCAATCTTTATGATGGACTTCACAGACCGCATGGAAGGGCACAAATACATTGTGATTTAGCCACAGACAGGGGGGAAAAGAGTAAAAGATTCTCCTACAATTACATTTATTTTATTTTATGAAGCTTTGTTTCTTCAGATTCCATGGAAGGGAAAGTACCAAGGTAGGATAGATCACCCCTATTCCATGCCTTTATTCTTTCATGAGTTTGATGTACTCTGCATTCCACTCCTCCTGAATTCTGGTTTTATATGTATGGGCTTCCAGGGGCAGAGCATGCACAAGCAGAAGGCACTGCCCCAGCCTTGAAGGGCAAAAGCACAGTCCAGGAGCAGCTTGCCTCACTGCAACTCCAGAAGGCAGCAGGAGCTCAGTAGGGAACCTGCCACTGGGGTGCCTGGTTATACCCCCCCTCATAATTTTGCGCCTGGGGGCCACTGCCTGGTCCTAGTCCAGGATTCTAATCACTGCATCCCATGGGCTTTCTGTCTGTTAACTGAACCAATTTAAATATGTGTGGCCCAAACATGCTAGATCTGCTCACAACATCCACATGCATGCCAGCTCTTAAGCACAAAGGCCTGAAGGGGATTCTTTGTATGCTCAGCTGGACACACTTAGTTTCGCACACATAAAGGATGCCCACTCATATGAAGCCACAACCACCAGAGAGGTTTAACAGTCAATCTGGGAATTGAAGTTCTGTGAGGGGAACAGTGTCTCTTAACACCTCTCAGCATCCTTAACTATGGCTTCCTTTGGGGGAATAGTGAGCTAAATGGGCTAATTCAGGACAAGGCAGCTTTCTGCATTTGTAAATTCTCAGAGAATATTGTTTTCCTTAGAAATTTCAGATCAGCTCTAATTCTGGCCCCCAACACTCCTGGATTTTCCTGTTGTTTCTCTACAGGTGTTTACTAATTTAGAGAGCTTTCAAAAGGGATTAGACAAATTCACAGAGGACAAGGTTGGTACTAGATGTGATTGCTGTATTACCGCCTACCAGATAAAAAGCAACATGTCTCTAAGCGCCAATTGCCAGGTAACAACAGATAGTGGGGCCTGTTGCTCTCATATCCTGTTTGTGGGTTTTTCATAGGTAACTGGTTGGCCATTGTGGGGAATAGCATGCTGGGGAATAGGCCCAAAGAGGGGGCCCAAGAGGTATATTCAATGGTGAGTGGTGGGCTGTATGGCAGTGGACATACACATGCACACACACAATAAAGTTATCCCAGTCACCAAACTGTTAGATGGGTTGGTGTAGCACAATTTACATGGGCAGGATGACATATGATGTAACGCTCCACCCACCATCTCTGTCACCAATATGCTCCCTCCCTCAGCCACTAAATGGGTAGGACAAGACATGGGGAGGAATCCTCCCTGTATGCTGTTCTCTGAATCGCAATCACACCCCTAGGCTACCCAACAGTTGTTTCGATGGGCTGGGGAAGGGCAGCATAATTTATATGGGGAATCCAAGGATTTGTATTGGGAATGGAGTGGCGGGGAGTGACTATGCTAAAGGCCTCTAAGGCCCACATGTGGTCAGCATGGTGTTCCATATGTGATATAGGCCTTTGGTTTGATTCAGCTGGGCTGTTCTCTAATGTTCTTATGTTCTTAATTTAACTGGCTGATGATAAAAATTATTTGATTAGCGCTGTCAGCTATAATTTGTTCAAGTAGGATTGTCGTTCCTATTCAGAATGATACTGTATATATATATATATATATATTCTTGCATGATTGAGCACTGTTGTCGATGGCACAAGCATAGTGGATACAACATGAATCACATCATTTCTTTGGGTGGGGGGACCAGTTGACGTGTGCTATTCAATAATCTCATATCAAGGCATCTGCTGTCATTTGAACTAGCAAACATCCAACCCGCATTATTGTTGATTTGTAGCAGACTGGTTATGAAATGATATAAACAACAGATGCAGTCATCTGATTAATCTACACAAAATTAAAATCTGCTCATCTCCTTCCACTTGTGCAACATCTGACGGCAGTGACTGGCAACGTTTTGCATGATCTTGGTTGTGGAAGGAGATGGAGAGAAGGGGAGAGAACAAATAAAAAATGGGGGGGGGGACTGTTGTCAAGCACACACATCATTTCCTTGGGCTATTGAGCCTTTCAGTTTAAATCAGTGAGGTCTCCGTCTGAATTTCATTTTCTTCCTTTTCAACTGTAAGTGGCATCCACAATCTTCTTATGGTTATAAATTATAAATTCAATCCCAGAGTTAAAGAAGGACACGTTGACACTAACAAGAAATTGCCGTGGGTAGGCAGAGCCAGCAGGGTCCCACTTGCTCCCAGGGAGGCAAGGAAATAGTGGGGCTGGAACTTGATCAGTTCTCATTTTAATGTAAACCTACCAAATTCACAATT